TATGTGCATACTTATTTTTATTTAGTGAGGAATGTAAGCCAAATATATATAATCTGATGTTGAATGGGTATTTGTCCCCTTCAAATCTCATTGTGATTCCCAATGTTGTAGGTGGGGTCTGGTGGGAGGTATTTAGGACATGGGGATGAATTCTTCATAAATGGCTTAAAGCACTTCCCATGATAATAAGTGAGTCCATATTCTGTTAGTTCACACACAAGCTGGTTGTTTAAAGTCACTTCTACCCCTTTTTCCCTTACACCCTCTCTAGCCATTTGACACGCTTGCTTCCCCCTCACCTTCTTCCATGATTGAAAGCTACCTGAAGTCCTCACTAGGAGGAGATGCCTGCTTCCATTATGCCTCTTGTACAGCCTGCAGAACCATGAGCCAAAATAAAACTCTTTTTAAATAAATTACCCAGCCAAAGATATTCCTTTATAGCAATGGAAATGGACTAACACACAATTGTATAAATAGATGCCCAGAATTGATTGATAAGATTTTATACACAATGGTGACATACATATATGACAGCAAACTTCTCTAATCTTATAAAAAAAAAACTACCAAAATCTACTTCAAGCATCATTCTCAATATTGAAATGGAAAACTTCCACTACTTCCTGCAGATTAGAAAGGAGAAACAAGGATCCACACTGACACCAATTCTATTCAATGCCCTCCTAGAAATTCTAGCCAATGCAATAATGAATGCAATAAAGAGGCATTAAGCCCAAGAGAAATGGAAAATAAGAAATAAAACAATATTAACCCAGATACATATAATGTACACAGAAATTACAATGAATCCAGAAATAAATTATGAATAGTGATTAGTAAAATTAGCAAAGTTGACAGATTAACATCATCAGAATGATAAAAACTAATTATGTTCCACAACAAGAATATTAATTATCTAGGGAAAACCAAAGACTTGAAACCCATGACAACAAAATCACAACATTCCTGGGAAAATAAAAGAAATCCCAAATAAATTGGAAGCATAATTATATTGAGGAATAGAAAGACTCAACGTGTCAAGATTCAGTTCTTTCCAAACTGACTTACAAATTTAATGCCACCCTGACAGAAATTCCAGCCCAATGTTTTGGGAAATTGACAAACTAATACCTTTAAAATGTATTTGCAAATATAAGCACCTAAGAGTAGCCAAACCAATCTTGAAGAAAGATCATAAATCTGGAAAACACACACTGCCAGACACAAAGACCTGTTACAAAACTCTGTAGCCCCAAACTGGAAACAACACAAAGTCCCATTAAACTGCCATACATATGAGTTATGCACTTCTCTCACCCGGTGATGGTAGAGGATAAGAATGATACTATGAATTTGGGGACTTCAAAAACATGAAGTTGCAGTGTAGGAGAAACAAACTTACCTTGGGAATGAGATAGTTTCTGAATTTAACGTCACAGGTCACTGCATGGGGCAGGCTGGTCGGGAGGAGGTCAATGTATCTCTGGACCTCATGCACCACAGCATCTGTGTAGGGCATGTGGCTCCTGTCCTGCATGCAGGGGCTCCGGTTTCTGCCAATCACACGTTCAATCTCTTCCTGGACTTTAGCTGACAAGACACAAGTAAAAACTGATGGAAAAGGAGAAAAAATGGCACATTTGTTGTAGCAATTCAAGGGTACATGCATCATGATGAAGGTATCCAAACCTCATTATAAATTTAAATTATAGTGATGGAAGTATATGCAACCTTAAAGAGAGGACTGTTACAGATGCACAAATGTGCGACTGGTATAAAGTAGGCATTAAGAAAAATCTGTACACGTGTAAGCAGAGAAAATTATCTTCAATAAAGGAAGGCAGGAAGAAATGAAAGAAGGAAGAGATGTCCACAAAACAACCAGAAAACAAATAACAAAAGGGCAGGGGTAAGTCCTTACTTGTCAATATTAACACTGAATGTAAATGGACTAAAATCTCCAATCAAAAGACATACTGACTGGATGGAAAAACAAGACCTATTAACTTGTCACCTAAAAGAAACACACTTCACTTATAAAGACACACGTAGGCTGAAAATAAAGGAATAGAATGAGACAGTACCTGCCAATGGAAATGAACAAATGAGCAGGAGTTACTATATTTAAAACAGACAAAGCAGATTTCAAAACAAAAACTATAAGAAGAGAAAAAGAAGATCACTATTGGTAATAAAGTGGTCACCTCGGCAAGAAGATGGAACAATCATATATATATGCAACCAACAATGGAGCACCCAGATATATATAAGAACTATAATTAGAACTAGAGAGAGATAGACCACAATACAATAATAGCTGGAGACTTCAACACCCCACTTTCAGCATTGGACAGGGCATCCAGAGAGAAAATCAACAAGAAAACATTCAACTTCATCTGCACTATAGACCAAATGGATCTAATAGATATTTGGAGAATATGTTATCCAACTGCTACAGAATACACATTCTTTTCCACAGCACATGGATTGTTATCAAGAATTGACCATATGTTAGGTCACAAAACACATCTTAAAATATTCAAAGAAAATGAAATAATATCAAGCATCTTCAGGGACCACAATGTAATAAAACCAGCAATCAATAACAAGAGGAAATTTGGAAACTACACAAATAAATGGAAATATAAAAATATGCTCATAAATGAACAGTGGGCCCATGAAGAGATTAAAAAGGAAATTGAAAATTTTCTTGAAACAAATGATAATGGAAACACAACATACCAAAACCTAGGGGCTACAGCAAGACCACTAGTAAGAGGGAAGTTTATAGCTACAAGAGCTTATATCAAAAATGGAGAAAAATTGACAAGTAAACAATCTAATGATGCATCCTAAAGAACTAGAAAAGCAAAAGTAAATTAAATCCAAAGTTAGTAGAAGAAAAGAAATAATAAAGATCAGAGCAGAAGCAAATAAAATTTAAATGAAGAAAACAAAACAAAAGATCAATGAAACAAAAAGTTGCTTTTTTGATAAGTTAAACAAAATTGACAAACCTTTAGCCAGAATAAGAAAAAAAAAAACCAAAAACAGAGTAGATTCAAATAAATAGAAACAAATTAAAAAGTAGGCATTACAACTGATTCTGCAGAAATTCAAAGAATTATTAGTGGTTACTATCAGCAACTATATGCCAATAAATTGGAAAATCTACAAGAAATGGACAAATCCCTAGACAAATATGACCCATCGAGATTGAACCAGGAAGAAATCCAAAACCTAAACATGCAATAACCAGTACGAAGATCAAACAAAAAATAAAAAGTATCCCAGTAAAGAAAATCTCAAGATTGGCTAGCTTTACTGCTGATTTTTACCAAACATTTAAAGAACTAATACCAATCCTACTCAAACTATTCCAAAAAATAAAGGCAAATAGAACACTTCCAAACTCATTCCATGAGGCCAGTATTACCCTGATACCAAAATCAGACTAAGACACATCAAGAAAACAAAACTACAGGCCAATACACCTGATGAACACTAATGCAAAAATCTTCAACAAAATGCGAGCAAACCAAATTCAGCAATACAATAAAAAGGTCATTCACAATGACCAAGTGGGATTTATCCCTGGGATGCAAGGATGGTTCAACATGTGCAAATCAAGCAGTGTGATACATCATATCAAAAGAATGAAGGATAAAAAACATATGATCATTTCAGTTGATGCTTTAAAAGGATTTGATAAAAGTTAACATCCTTTCCTCATACAAATTCATGAAAAATAACTTGAGATAGAAGAAACATACCTCAACATAAAAAAGCTATATGAGAGACACACAACTAGTACTATACTGAATGCGGAAAATGGAAAGTCTTTCCTCTCAGATCAGAAACACGACAAGGATGCCCACGGTCACCATTGTTATTCATCATAATACTGGATGACCTAGCAAGAGCAATGAGACAAGAGAAAGATATAAAGGCTATCAAAAATGGAAAGGAAGAAGTCAAAATATCCTTGTGTGCAGATGATATAACCTTATACTAGGAAAAAACCTAAAGCTTCTGCAAGATAATTATTAGAACTGATGAACAAATTCAGTAAAGTTGAAGGATACAAAATCAATATAAAAATCAGTAGTATTGTTATATGCCAACAATGAACAAAAAGAAAAAGAAATTTAAAAAGTAATCCCATTTACACTAGCCATACATAAAATTAAATACCTAGGAATTAATTTAACCAAAGAACTGAAAGATCTCTATAATGAAAACTATAAAACACTGAGGAAAGAAATTTAAGGGGACACAAACAGAAAAATATTTCATGTTCATGGATTGGAAAAATCAACATTGTTAAAGTGCCCATACTATCAAAACAATCTACAGTTTCAATAAAATCCCTATCAAAATATCAATGGCATTCTTCAAAGAAATAGCAAAAATAAATCCTAAAATTTATATGGACCCACAAAAGACCCAGAATAGTCAAAACTGTCCTAAGCAAAGAGAACAAAATTGGAAGAATCACATTATCTCACTTCAAATTATACTACAGAGCTATGCTAACTAAAACAGCATGGTACAGACATAAAAATAAACACATGGACCAATGGAACAGAATAGAGAATCCACAAACAATTTCACATACCTAGAGTGAACTCATTTTTGACAAAGGTGCTGATATGGTTTGGCTGTGCTCCCAGCCCAAATCTCATCTTGAATTGTAATAATCCCCACAAGTCAAGGGTGAGGCCAGGTGGGGATAATTGAATCATGGGCGTGGTTTCTTCCATACTTTTCTCATGATAGTGAATAAATCTCACAACATCTCATGGTTTTATAAATGGAAGCTCCCCTGCAAAGCTCTCTGCCTGCTGCCATGTAAGACGTGACTTTGCTCCTCATTCACCTTCCGCCATGATTGTGAGGCCTCCCCAGCCATGTGGAAGTGTGAGTCCATTAAACTTCTTTCCTTTATAAATTACCCAGTCTTGTGTTGGCTTTATTAGAAGCATGAGAACAGACTAACACGGGTGCCAAGAATGTACACTGAGGGAAAGACAGTCTCTTGAACAAACGTGCTGGGAAAATTTAATATCCTACACAGAAGAATGAAACCGAACTCATATCTCGTGCCATATACAAAATTCAACTCAAAATCAATTAAAGACTTAAATCTTAGACCTCAAACTCTGAAATTAATATAGGAAAACACTAGGAAAAATCTCCAGGACTTTGGTCTAGGCAAAAATTTCTTGAACAATACCCTACAAACACAGGCATTCAAAGCAAACATGAACAAATTGGATCACATCAAGTTAAAAAGCTTCTGCACAGCCAAAGATACAATCAACAAAAGGAAGAGACAATCACAGAATGGAGAAAAATATTTGCAAACTATTCATCTGACAAGAGATTAATAACCAGAATATATAAGAAACTCCAGCAACTCTATAGAAAAAAAATATACTAATCCAATCCAAAAGTGGGCAAAAGATTTGAATAGATGTTTCTCAAAAGAAGACATATAAATGGGTAAGAGGCATACAAAAAAGTGGTCAACACCACTGATCATCAGAGAAATATAAATCAAAACTACAATCAGATGTCATCTCATTCCAGTTAAAATGGCTGATATCCAAAGACAGGCAATAAGAAATGCTAGTGAGGATGTGGAGATAAGTGGACCCTTGTATAGTGTTGGTGGGAATGCAAATTAGTATGACCAGTACAGGGAGCTGTTTGAATATTCCTCACATAACTAAAAATAAAGCAACCAGATGATCTAACAACCCTACTGCTGAGTATATACCCAAAAGAAAGGACATAAGTACATCGAAGAAGTATCTGCACTCTTATGTTTGTTGCAGCACTGTACACAATAGCTAAGACTTTGAAACAACTTTAATATGCATCAACAGACAAATGTATAAAGAAAATGTAGTACATATACACAATGTAGTTCTATTCAGTCATAAAAAGAATGAGATTCACTCATTTGCAACAACATGAAGGGAACTGGAGATCATTATGTTAAGTGAAATAAGCCAGGCACAGAAAGATAAACATGGCATGTTCTCACTTATCTGTGGGATCTAAAAACAAAAGAATTGAACTAATGGACATAAAGTATAGAAGCATGGTTACCAGAGACTCGAAAGGGTAGTGGGGGCTGGGAGGGGAGGTGGGGATGAATAAGACCTACTATATGGTAGCACAACAGGGTGA